GATCCTGAGGGGCTCTTCCCACCCTGATTCTGAGATTGACAACAGAGAATCGATTCAAAATCCTCAGAGAATTCCCTTTTGTTTTTGCAGGGCTTCTGCAAGCCAAGGCCTTGGGGCTGCAGGTGTTCCACGGGGGCACAGCACTGAAGGATGGCAGGGTGGTGACAAGTGGTGGCAGAGTCCTGTCCATCACTGCTGTCAAGCAGGACCTGATGGAAGCCCTGGGAGAAGCCAACAGGGGTGTGGCCACCATCCACTTCCAGGGGGCCACCTTCAGGAGGGACATTGGGCACCGGGGCCTGCAGCTGCTCCAGCAGCCCCTGTACGTGAGCACTGGCACAGCAGCCCAGATGTTCCTGCCTGCCTGGGAGCTTTGGGCAAACCTCTGGGTGCCTCTTGGGCACCCACACTGCTGGGTTATGTTCTTCTTTAAAAAGCCAAGCAAGTTAATAGTTGCTATAAAGTTATTTATTGCAGAAGCACATCAGTCTCAAAGGCAATAACAAAGCAAAGCAATGGCAAAGCTGCAGTGGCAAAATGCAATGGCATAAAGCCATGGCACAGAGCACCAGCTCTGCCTAATTAATGTTCTTTTATAGAAACTTTCCAACTAGCTAAAACACAAACTCAGACCACTACTTCTTAACCTATTAAAATTTTAGTTTCTTAGCACACCAGGCTACATATAAACTATGTTCATGGCCTATCTTGTTGTAACTGTAAAATGTCAGCAATATTCTTAACTCTAACTCTATTATGTCTAAAGCTAAGTTCTTGGAGCCTCTAAGAAAACACTAGCATGTTTTTTAACCTTTACTAGAACATGTACTACTTCTCAGGCATCTAAGACCTTTTACTCACTAAAAGCACTTAAAACTTATTCCATTTACTTACTTATTTACTTCATCTATTTACTTACTCATTCCATTCAAAGGCTTTAATTCAATCTTTGCACTCTGATTTCTCTCTCAAGAAATCAGAGAGACTCCTGACTGACTGACTCCAACATTGCCCTCACATCTGGGCTGTCTCTGCTGAGCCCTGCAGAAAGGATCAGCAGCAGCTCCTTCCCTCCCCACAGAACCCTGATGTACAAGGACAGACACGTGGGAGCTGAAACCAGGGAGGTTTTGAGGCACCTGCCACAAACATCAGCTGTGAGAGGCACCAGGGCAGGTAGGATTGGGAAGAATCTGGGAATTGCCTCAGAATATTGGGTTTTTTTCTCCCTGCAGGGTGGGCAGTGCACTCATGGCATTGAACCTGAGCTTGGGAAACTGGGCTGGCATCAGCACAAACAGAGAAAATTCATTTCTTTCTTATCACTCTTCTTATGATTAATTAACAAATGCCTGCCTTGCCATGGAGGTGATTGTGCTTCTTAGAGGTGCAGAATGGAGAGGAATATAATGGAAATAAATAAAATAATAAAATCACTAATAAGTAAATAAATAAATAAATTAAATAACTGGAGAAAAGGAGGCTCAGGGGGGACCTTGTGGCTCTGCACAAGGAGGGGCAGGGAGGGGGAACAGGGACAGGAGGAGAGGGAACGGCCTCAGGCTGGGCCAGGGCAGGCTCAGCTTGGACAGCAGCAGGAATTTCCCCATGGAAAGGGAGCTNTGCACTCTGATTTCTCTCTCAAGAAATCAGAGAGACTCCTGACTGACTGACTCCAACATTGCCCTCACATCTGGGCTGTCTCTGCTGAGCCCTGCAGAAAGGATCAGCAGCAGCTCCTTCCCTCCCCACAGAACCCTGATGTACAAGGACAGACACGTGGGAGCTGAAACCAGGGAGGTTTTGAGGCACCTGCCACAAACATCAGCTGTGAGAGGCACCAGGGCAGGTAGGATTGGGAAGAATCTGGGAATTGCCTCAGAATATTGGGTTCTTTTCTCCCTGCAGGGTGGGCAGTGCACTCATGGCATTGAACCTGAGCTTGGGAAACTGGGCTGGCATCAGCACAAACAGAGAAAATTCATTTCTTTCTTATCACTCTTCTTATGATTAATTAACAAATGCCTGCCTTGCCATGGAGGTGATTGTGCTTCTTAGAGGTGCAGAATGGAGAGGAATATAATGGAAATAAATAAAATAATAAAATCACTAATAAGTAAATAAATAAATAAATTAAATAACTGGAGAAAAGGAGGCTCAGGGGGGACCTTGTGGCTCTGCACAAGGAGGGGCAGGGAGGGGGAACAGGGACAGGAGGAGAGGGAACGGCCTCAGGCTGGGCCAGGGCAGGCTCAGCTTGGACAGCAGCAGGAATTTCCCCATGGAAAGGGAGCTCAGGCCTTGGCAGGGGCTGGGAGGGCTTTTCCAACCTTTTCTTGGTGAGAGTTTTGGGTGTTTTTCTTCCCCAGAAATCCAATCTGTGCCATGTTTGTACTTGCAGGAGGTCTCTCAGAAGGAGGAGGTTTTGCTGCTTTCTTTGACCTGAAGGCATCTGGTTACCACGATCCCATCCTGGTGTCCCAGACCAGGGGCCTTGGACCCAAACTGCAGGTGAGTGGCAGCTGATGTCACCTGCCAGGGCTGTTTCAGTGCCACCATCTGTACCCACCCTCCTGAGCCCTGCAGACACTCCTGAGTCCACTGCACTGGGCACCTGAACTTTGTAAATGGTTATTTGTGCAAGGCCTTGCCATGATTAATTGAGGATGTGGATATTTTGTGGTGAAATTTTAATAACCCGAAATTGAGCTGAAAACCTGAGGCACTAAAACCCAGAATTTCTGCTATAAACCAGAGGGTGCATTGGCTTTGTGTGGAGGAGCACAGGGAGTTGTTGAAATGAGAACTGGCAGACTCAGCCTAATAAATTGTGTGTGGAGAGAGAGAAAAGGAACCTCTGTCAGGGCACTGGGGAAAGGAAAGATAAAGGAAATAAACGTTAAAGAAGCCAAGAAATAAAGAATTTTAATTAGCCAAGATCATACAGGAGAAGCTCAGTTGGGAATATATTTATTTAGTGAATTGGGATAAATTGAGCCAGGGATATATTTATGTATTGAATCAGGATAAGTTGCCCTGGGGATTTAATTGTATATTAAATCAGAAGGTTTTCAGCTATCAGGAGAGTGGAGATCTGAAACTCCTTTCACTGCCAAGCACAGCAATGTCCCTTGGTTCAAATGGTTTCTGCCTTTAATGCCAGGGCTAACAAACAGCAGGAGACTGAGCAGAATCATCCTGAAGGTCTTTTACAGTCTCACATCCTCACACACCTCTGAGCATGAAAAAGTGATTGGTGCTGGCTCTTGTGAGTCTTTGTTCCAAGTGCTTGGCACAGAGACATTCCCAGCTGTGTTTCCACAGCTGTTCCCAAGGTTCCTCCTTGGCCAAGGGAAGCTTGGCCTGGATTGTTCCTGGAGCAGTGGGAGGGAGGTGCTGTCATGCAGCAGAGGCTGTGGGATCCCAGTTTCCACAGCATTCCTAAACCCAGCAGCCAGGGAAATCAGTCAGGAATCCGAGCCCAGGCTTTGTTTGGGTGCTGCTCCCTCCCCATTTGGAATCCAGTGATGTTTATCCACGTTTTCCCCTTGCCCATCCTTCTGTCCTGGGCTTTTCTGCACATACAGAACTGTGTCAGTAAAAGGCACCTCCTTGAAAATTTATTCACTGATGGTTTTTGCACCCTAAATAATTGTCTGGTGTTATAATCCTGTGATCCCTGTGTAACCTTTGTCCCTTGGCATCCCTGTGAGCTGGGCAGGACACTCCAGGGTCCCCCTGAGAGCTGGAAATGTCATGGGAGTCACAACCTGACCCAGGGCTCATTACCTGGGAAATGCAAACAATGAAGACTTCTAAAACCAAACAGCAACTTCCCTGAGAGAAATATCTGTGCTTTATCAAACACCTGCCTGAAGGGCCTGAAGGGGCTCCAGGAGAGCTGGAGAGGGACTGGGGACAAGGATGGAGGGACAGCACACAGGGAATGGCTTCAAAGCAGGATTTGATGGGATTTTGGGAATTAGGAATTGTTCCCTGGGAGGGGCTGGGATGGAATTCCCAGAGCAGCTGTGGCTGCCCCTGGATCCCTGGAATGTTCAGTTCCAGGTTGGACATTGGGACAGTGGGAGGTGTCCCTGCCATGGCAGGGCTGGCACTGGGGGGGCTTTAAGGTCCCTCCTAACCCAAATCATTCCATGATTCTGTGATAATATTCCAAAAAACAAACAAACAAACAAAATCTCAAAATTACAATTTCTAGGTAGCTATGGCTGGAATTCGAACTAATATAAAAAAAAGCAAAATATATTTTTCTTTTTGGTCTGCAAGAAAATGAGCTGTTTTCTCCTGATTTCAACTAGGTAATGTCCTCCATTATGTCCTGTAGTGATTCCACCAGGTTCTGTGACCTGATTCTGTGACTGCACCAGGCTCTGTCCTGCAGTGATTCCTTTCAGAGAAAAGAAGGTTTCTGCTGATTTCACGGATTAATAATTGAGTTTTGCCTGTTTCTCATTCCCACCATGTTTTGCAGGTTGCCCAGGTCTGTAAAAGACACGACACCATCGGGCAGGAACTGGTGGCCCTGTGTGTCAATGACCTCCTGGCCCAGGGGGCTGAGCCCCTCTTCTTCCTCACTCATTTGGCCTGTGGCAAACTCGATGCTGAAGTGATGGAAACCATCAAGGAAGGAATAGCTGAGGCTTGCAGGAGTGCAGGGTGTGCTTTCCTGGGTATGGACCCTCCTCTCCTCTGAGATTTGAAGGTCTGAGGTTGAATTTATCACCAGAAAAATGGACTTGGGGGGGGGGCGGAGGCAGAATGTGGCCCTGGAATTGTTGATTTTTGTTTAGTGGAAAAACAGTTGAGAGTTTGTGCTTCAGTTCTTCCTTGTCTGTAAAATGGGTCAGCACAGAAAGATGGGGTTTAGGATCCTTGTTCTTCCTTCTTTATCCCTGAACAAAGGAGAACAGAGCTGGAAGCCTCACACTCTTCAACGTTAATGTTTCCATTCCTTCTCCCATACTCAGGGATGTGCCACGTGAGTACCAGAAATAATAATGACAAAAACACTTCTTCTTTCATGAAGCTTTGTTTCATTGGAGTCTTGAGGTGAAGTAAAAAACCAAGAAGGATTTTAAAACTATATCTGCATGTTTTTATGCTGCGTGTCCCTGGATGTGCTGCTGACTTTGGGAGATGCCATCAATTCCAGTGTACGGTGTTACAATAATGGCTTTGAGCTGAGGGAGGGCAGGGCTGGATGGGATATTGGGAAGGAATTGGGGGGCTGGGAGCAGCCTGGGACAGTGGGAGGTGTCCCTGCCGTGGCAGGGCTGGAATGGATGGGATTTGAGGTCCCACCCAACCCAAACTGGGGTTGGGTGATTCTAAAAGGAACACAAACAGGAGGTGCTGACCACAGTGTCCCCTTGCAGGTGAACAGGTGACAGAAGTGGCATCCCCGTGTCCCCCTGGGCACTGTGACCTGGCTGGCTTCGTGGTGGGTGCAGTGGAGAGGGGGCAGAGGCTGCTGGGGCTGCAGAGAGCCCAGGAGGGGGATGTGCTGCTGGGGCTGGGCTCCCCCAGCATCCACGGCCGCGCGTTCGGCGTCGTGCGCAGGATCCTGCTGACATCGTCCCTGCACTGCTCCTCACCAGCCCCGGGCAGCTGTGGGGACACCACTCTGGGTGTGCTGGCCTTCTTCTTCCCATGGGGTCTGCAGGGCCAGCCCGTTCCCATCGGCCTGGCTTAATCAGTCTCTGGGGCTGGGTTGTGTTCACTGCTCTGCAAGTGTGGGCACCACTTCTGCCTCCTTCCCAAGGACTGGGGGAGGATTTGTTCAGGGAAGCATTCCCATGATCTTTGAAACAAATTCATAGAATTCAGCCTAGAGAATGGCTCTGGGAGATCTCAGAACCCCTTCAGTACCCAAAGGGGCTCCAAGAGAGCAGGAGAGGGA